ATCCAGATTAGGACTAGCCACAAACACTATCTGTGCTCTTGGCATCGCCATCATTGTGGCGTTTATCCATAGCTGGCAGCTCACCTTGCTCATCCTTGCCTGTGTCCCCTTCCTCACGGCGGCAAATTTCATCCAGATGAGAGCCATGGCAGGACACACCACCAAAGACCAGAGTGCACTGGAGATGTCTGGCAAGGTACGGTACTCTGGTCATTGACCCCTTTTTTTTTGGTTTTGTTTGAGAACAGTGTGATTTAGTTTATTCTGTAAATGATTAAGTAAGATTAATTGGTTGCTGATGGTCTCATTTCCAACTCTTCTGCCCAGATATCCACAGAAACTGTTGAGAACTTCAAGACGGTCGTCGCATTAACCCGTGAAGATGTCTTCTTCCGAAAGTTTATTGACAGCCTGAACATGCCATATCGGTAAAATCATTTTTTAAGAGTAAAATACTAAAATCCTTTAATAAAGGCACCACAAGGAGGTGCTAGAGGGCCCATGGAGAATTTTTTACAAAAGATTAAATGTTTACAAGCAGTGTTGTTTCACCCTAATTTTATTAATATTTATAGTTAATATTATTAATTCTAAGTTCTCATGTTAATTTTAGTTATTTTTTTAATAGATTTAGTTTTAGTTAATGATAATAACTGGGATAATACACTCTAAAAAATGCTGGGTTGTTTCAACCCAAATTTGGGTCAAATATGGACAAACCCAAATGTTGGTTTAAAAATGTAATTAAAAAAAATGTACAGTGAAAGTTGAAGTTGGGTTAAAATTTTAAATTACATTTCTAACCCAATATTTGGATTTGACCATGTTTTACCCAATTTTGGGTTAAAACAACCCAGCATTGTTTAGAGTATAGCAGGGTTAACTGAAAATGTTTAATTACATTTTTTTTTTAATTTTTGAAAATATTTATACAAAAAGATACACATTTATATTTAATAAATATATTTAATAGTTTGCTTTGACTTCAGTATATCTGATTATTTAATTTTTGAAAATCTTAATATTTAACTCATGCATTATAAATTAGTCTTTGTACATGAAAACATAAATACACACACACACACACACACACACACACACACACACACACACACACATATATATATAACATAAAAATGACAAAAGTACAACACAATTACTGAGACAAAAACGAAAAATGGAAATTAAGTTGAAAATATGAAGATGAAAGTTATTTAAAAATGTTAATAAATACAATACTTGTATATAAATAATACTAAAATAATACTGCTCACAAGAGTATCGTTATTATATTTGTGGGTCATACACTCTTAAAAAATGTCTATCTTAAATATAGACAAACCCAAATGTTGGATCAAAAATGGAAAAAAAAAAATGTACAGTTGAAAGTGAAAGTTGAAGTTGAAATAACATTTTTAACCCAACATTTGGGTTGAAACAACCCAGCATTTTTAAGAGTGTAGGCAAAAACATTGTTTTTTAAATGATTCTTTCTTTTTTGACTAATTGTATGTGATTGTGATGGGAAACCTTTGAAAATCCCTGCCTTAACACACGCTCAGTTGACATCAAATCTGATTTTGTGATATTATGTGATTTTTCAGATCTAGCTTGTGTAAAGCACCCATCTACGGAGTCACATTTGCCCTGGCACAAGCCATTCCTTACCTGGTCAATGCTGCCATCTTCCGCTTTGGAGCCTGGCTTATTGCACGCTGTTACACAGAATATGAAAATGTTTTCCTGTAAGTACAGTTTGTAGGAAGGATTTATCAATGTTCTTTTTGAAAATCTCATACTATACCGTGCTGATGTGTCGGTTCCTCTCCAGGGTATTTTCTGTGATTGTCTTTGCTGCAATGAACATTGGCCAGTCCTCATCATTCGCTCCTGACTTTGCCAAAGCCAAAGCAGCAGCTGGGCGGATCTTAATGCTGCTAGAGAAGAAACCAGCCATTGATATCTATGATGAGTCTGGAGACCAACCAGTAAGTTGAAAATTCTTAGAAAATAAATAATATTATTTGTCCATTTTTTTTAAAAAAAAAGAAAAATAATAATAACTTTCTTTGTCCTTTTTTCAGACAAATTTTTCAGGGCATGTTGAATTCCGAGAGGTGCAGTTCTCCTATCCAACCCGTCAGAATGTGAAAGTCCTACAGGGCCTGAATGTATCGGTGTTTCAGGGACAGACTCTGGCCCTGGTGGGCAGCAGTGGCTGTGGCAAGAGCACCACCATTCAGCTTCTAGAACGTTTCTACGACCCTGCGGCAGGCCAAGTGGTGAGTTCACCAGGTCTAAATCATTATTTTGGCTTATGTGATCAATTTATGCCTGATTGTTTTTGCTTGTTGCACAGTTTGTAGATGGGAATGACACCAAAAATGTGAACCTGGCATGGCTACGCAATCAGATGGGGCTGGTGTCTCAGGAGCCCATCCTGTTTGACTGCACCATTGCTGAGAACATTCAGTACGGAGACAACAGTCGGGACGTCACCCAGGAAGAGATCGAGGAAGCTGCCAAGAAGGCCAACATACATAGTTTTATCCTTGGCCTTCCAGAGGTATGCATAATGTCTTCATTAGTGTGTGTGTGTGTGTAGTAAAGGTACAAAATGCAGGATTTTTGCAGTAAAATATCCAAAAACCACTAGGACAATGTTATATATTTTGTTTAGTTGATTACTTACAATATCCCACATGTTTCCAACTATTTGTAAATCATGAGAAAATAGCGATTTTAACCAAGGAAATGGGAAATCTGGAATGTTATTCTCTAATGTTAATTCAGCGTGTAGTTCGGTTGAATGAAATGTCCTTATTCCTTTATATCCGCGGGACTCGCATTGCGTGTGGCGCTGGTATACGTCGTCTAGCAATCGCGCCCTGCTTCAAACCACAGTCATGTTAAAAATATCAATGTATTCACTCATCCATAAAAGATCCATCAGCTTGACGACAAGATCCATAATTCCGCTTAGTGCAGAATATCAATATACGCCTTTGTTATTGTAAGAGGTTAGCGACCCCTGGTGGTGAAAAAAAATCTTACATATTGTACCTTTAAGCTTTACAAACAAGTACACTACAATTTATTTGATCAAAATACATTCAAAACAGTACATTACATATTGAGAAATGTCTTTACTTTTTTAAAGAACTGTTTTATATTTGAATACATTTTAAAATGCAGTTTATTCCTGTTATGGTAAAGCTGAATTTTCGGCATCATTACTCCAGTCTTCAGTGTCACATGATCCTTCAGAAATCATTCTAATGTGATGATTTGGTGCTCAAGAAACATTTACTATTATTTATCAGTGTTGAACACAGTTGTTCTGCTTAATTACAGGATAGTTTGGTGAATAAAATGTTCAAAAGAAGATGATTTATTCATAATATTATTATTAGAACATTATAAATGTGTTTACTGTCACTTTTGATGATTCAATGCAATCTTTCTGAACAAAAGTATTCTTTTTTTTTTAATGAACAGTAGTTTATATTGGTAACTACTGGTAACACTACAATGCAAAATACTTCTAAAGCAATTATTTATTTTCGATATTTCAACATTTACTAACACATTATTAAAAATCAAAGGTTGCATTTTGGACCTAAACTTACATGAACTAACAATGAACAGTTGTATTTTGAACAATTCTATAACAAGCAATGTTAGTTCATTTTAGTGAATGCATTAACTAAAGTTAAATATTGAGACCTTATTGTAAAGTGTTACTATTATATTATAATATATCGTATTATATTATGCTCCAAGCCATTGATAAAAACTGTTTTCATCATCTATACATATGTAACATCCCTTCAGAAATACAACACTCGAGTTGGAGATAAAGGCGCTCAGCTGTCTGGAGGACAGAAGCAGAGGATAGCCATTGCTCGAGCTCTGGTCCGCAAGCCCAAAGTTCTGCTGCTGGACGAGGCCACATCAGCCCTCGACACAGAGAGCGAGAAGGTTTGTAACATGTCAAAAGCTGTCGCAAAAATGTACGACTGTTCCCTTTTTGACTCTGTTAGGACAATATGAACTTCTGTCTTCAACCAGCAGATGGCACTTTTGCTAGTTTGAACTTGTGATTCTGTTGCTTTTAGGGAATGGCTTAAAAATCAGATTTACACTACACACACACCTGTGTTTTTTTGTCTTATCGCATTTAGAAAAGGAAACAAAAGAAGATCAAACCCATGAATTAAATATGCATTACTACATAGTATATTTATGTGAACCAAAAAAACAACAACTAACTTTTAAATGTTGACCTGCTTTCTTTCTTGCTATACAGATCGTGCAGAAGGCTCTTGATGACGCTCGGCTTGGCCGCACATGTATCGTCATTGCCCACCGCTTGACCACTATTCAGAACGCTGACATCATTGCGGTGGTTCAGAATGGCGTGGTGATTGAGCAGGGAACGCATGCCCAACTCATGACCAAACAAGGGGCTTACCATGCTCTGGTGAATGCACAAGTATCTTCTCACTAACTTCAACTCCCTTTGATTTAATCTAGGGTTTGTATAATCGAAAATGAAAGGCACAGATAAATAATTAAATGTTGCAGTTAATCTTACATTTAAATTGACAGTTTATGTCACAAAACTGCTTCTGTTTTAGGATGTTGCATGAGTTCATTTTAATAAGCTTACTATAAATATCTGCGCAATATTATTTGAAAATCAGCACTTAATTATTAAACTCTGTGGCCAGGCATTAATAGGAGAAACAAAACAAAAAAATCTGGGTTTTTTTTTTTTGTTTTTTTTGTTTGTTTTTTTTTGCTTGCTTTTTGTTACTTTAAAAGTAGCATACATTTTTTGTTACAGCTCATTGGAAATATACTATTCTTATATAAAACGAGAAAGATGTTGTATATTTATTGATTTATTTTTTTTCTCAAATATTGTTTGTATATTTTGTAACTCATATACATTTATTGTACATAAAACAATGCACAACACCTTTTTCCCCAACAGGCAATTGCAACACTTTTAACTATGTTTTGAAGGTTGTATGAGTTTGTACAGTAGGCATAAACCCTTTGAATGTGAATATTGGTTTTCTGCACATTGCACAATTGTTTTGTTTATGACCTTATCAGCGCGTGGGGGCGCTCGTGCTCGTGGTTTGAGCCTCCAACATGTTGGACCTTTTTCCCCCACACCGGCTAACTTTATTGTCTCTCGGACAGAAACGGCAACTTTATTGTTGTATTGTGTCTGATATGTAGTTTATTGTTACGATGATTTTTTTCGATGTTTTAATAAAATGAATTATCGATAACCTTCCTCTGATTTTTTTTTTTAATAAAATAATTTATTTAAGGTAAATCCTATCTTACTACATAATACTAGCATACTATCTTGTTCAATGTAAACTCTTGTCTGGGTCATCCCATTTTTTATTTTATTTTATTTATTTTTTTTACATTTTTATTTGTTCATTTTCATTTGTCATACACAATTATGCGCTTATAGTAGACTAGTTTATTTATCGAAAGACATTGGAAAAACACAAAAATCCTACTGAATGGCTAGCCTACTAAATAACGCAGTCATTTCTGTTATTTGATTCTGAGATTTAAAAAAAAAAAAAAAAAAAAAAAAACAACAACTCTATAAGTAGTATATAAGTATATATCGTCCGTGTAGACTATAGCCTAGATAATAAAACATCCTGTAAAAAGTGATCAGTTGACTTAACTTAAAAAAAAAATTGAGGAAACCCGTTGCTTTAAAACTATTCAGTAAATAAACGTCATGCATAAAAATGTAGGCTAATGTGGAAATGTCAAGTTCACATAGCCTACATTAATATTTTCAATTAGTAATAAATGTAGCATTTACTAATTTTAATGCAACGGGTTTACAATTTTTAAGTAGTGTCTAATTTTGCCAAAGACTTTAAGATTAAATTATATCAGAAACACATGGTTTACGTTTATTAGCTATATATTCTGAAGACATTTGTAAGTTACACTTAAAATGTGTAGCCTACTTGGTAGAGCAAATAGTAAACGTCAGTTCCCCAAGTTGCTTCATTTCGTGGGTTTCACAACAACTACAGTTTATAACATTTTAAAACAATTTTATTTATTTTTCAATTGGAAATGAAATGGCGTAACAGGTCCTGCACTTGATCACAGATTCATTTAAGTTGGACATTTCAGTAATAATATCAACGGGAAATCGTTCACTCTGGCTGAATCCATGTTGACTTTATTGAGTGGCTTAAATTAGAAAGCCAATTTCTCAAATAAATGATGTGAAATAAACGCTCACCTTACATGTGCATGCTTACATAAATTAGAAAACGTGATTAAACACTGAATTCGGAATTGAAAATCTTACAAATCATTTCAAAAGTGCGTCTAAGACAGACCTCCAAAAAAATCAAGTCCAACTCGTGGATAAATATGACGTTTTTCTTCACAAAAAAACACTCCCGTATACAGTTTTGGATATTTACTAGAGTCAATATATATGCAACTAAAAAATACTATTCAAAATTTGCGTCTTGAACAAACACATACCCAACTTTACACCAGCGTGGAATAACCTTCTAGTCTATTCTTTTTTTATTTTCAATATGTACAGGTTTTTTGCAGCAACAGGAAATAAGTACAATTCATACAACTTAGGATTTGTAGTCTGTAGTTTCGACAAAGACCAATGTGCGATATAGACTATTTTCCCCCCGAATATTAAAAAAAAAAAAAAAAAAAATGAATTTGTAAATGACAGAGCTAAGTCTATACAACACTACGGCAATTTATCCTTACGCAATTGGATTTTAGTAGTGTTAATGAATAAAGTGCCACAGTTTGGTTTTGAGAAGAAAAAAAAGTTAGCAATGACAGGCCACTTCACTGATGGGTAAAATACTTTTTTTCTGTTTCATAACAACAGTAGGCTAAGTAAAATAAGACTATTCGACAAAACCCTCATCGGAATGCACAAATCAGATTATGTCCTTTTTAATATTCACCATTTTACCAAATTCATGTCGCGTAGTAGATATATCTGTGCAGACCAAAACAGGCTTACGTCATTGTAAATTACATTTTAATCGTAAATGAAATCACTTTACAACATCCAAGTGAAATGGCCACACGGTTATTTCTCACCAGGTGACACTTTATAATAACTTTTACTGTTAACCTTAATAGAAGCTATAGTTAATGTACATTCAACTAGCTAAAAAGGAATGAAACTTTGGTTTCTATCGTTTCATACAGGATATTGATAATTGAATGTGCATTATCTATCCATCGTTAACAACTTGAATTGTTGGAAGTTTTTATAAAGTGTTACCGACCGAACAGCACAACCTTTTGTGAACCGTCAAATAAGTTTAGTCCATTCGAGAAAATTGTGTCACGTGCATTTTGAATGGGATTAATCGATGGAGTTCGCTCGGCCGTTCATGCCCGTGGTCGGGACAGACTCGGAAGGTTGCAACAGGTCAGGTGAGTGGCACGAGGGGCTACCGGGCACGCTGTGCTCGCTGTCGGTGTCACTCCCTCGTTTCCCTCCACTCGCCCCAGACCCTGACCCTGACGAACCTCCGGCACTGTGCGTTTTGACATGTTTACTGAGGTGGTCGCTCCGCATGAACCTCTTGTTACACACGGGACAAGCGAAGCGCTTCTCTCCGGTGTGCGTGCGTAAATGTCGCTGGAGCTCGTCGGAGCGCGTGAACCTCTTCCCACAGAACAACCAGTTACACACAAACGGCCTTTCTCCGGTGTGCCACCTCAAATGAGCCTTGAGGTGCGACGTTTTGCCGTACACTTTCCCACAACCGGGAATGTGACAGCTGTGTAACCCCTTTCTGCGGAGGCTCGCGCCAGCCGGACCCAGCCGCTCCGCCTCTTGACAGTTCGGGCAGTCGCACGTCGCTCTGCCCGAGTAGCGCCGCGCTGAGGACCGCGGAGATCCCGCCAGCGAGGCCGTCGGACCCCCTGTCAACATTGAGCCTCCCGCTCCACCCAGGGGAGAGGGGCTGGAGTCCGGGTACGAGGAGAGCACGGGTTTGAATCCGTCCATGAGATGCTGACCGGTGGTCAGGAGATGCGGGGACGCGCTGGTACTAAAGGCAGAGTGGCTTAAACTCGAGTAGTCTGAGTTGTATCCGCCCAGAGGAGAGTGTAAAGAAGTCTGCAGTCCACCGGAGTGAAGGGACGTCTGGAGCGCGGCCCCGTTCGGGTTCTGCACGTCAATCCAGCCGGCTCCCACGTCCCACCACGCGGACGCGCCCGTGGTGCCCACATCCCCCGTGGGTATGCCAGGGTGCGAGGACTTGAACCACGACTCGTAGGGATGCGCCACGCTCATTCTCGGGTAAATGCTTTGCAAACTGTCCACTGACGTGTGCACCTTGGAAATAAACATGGGCTGGTGGCTGGGATCTTGTGAGTTGTTGGAAACAGACGCCTGGAAAACGGAGTAGTCGTTTCCGAAGTGGGAGTTGGGTGAAGTACCAGAAGTCAAGGAAAAGGCACTGGATCCCGTGGAAGAGTTCGTGCCAAAAGAGTCGCTTAAACCACCGCCATTCCGAGTGAAAGAGGATAAACTGGATCCTAAACTACAGCTGCTGGCTGCCGCTCGTTTCCACGGGTGGAATCCTTTTCCGAACGAAGAGGAGTTATCCGAAATAGAGGAAGGAGAAGGGCTCGGGCTCCCGATTTTGTTACACGTCGCAGCCAACATGGCTAAAGGAGTCGACCCCAATCTCGGCTCCTCCTGGAACAAAACGAATTAGAAGGTAAGCAAAGATGGTAGGCTATGTTTGGGAACGTACAGTTATCCAACAGCCTTAGCATACCTGAATGGTGGCAGGAAAGAAATGTCTAGCTACTGAAATACAAGCAGTCGCATGAGCATAAAACAAAAGCGAAACACAGCATATAAATAGCAATAAATGTTATACATACAATGTCGTAGTTGAGAAATGGAACTCCTGCTTGTTTCTCTCGCTTAAAACATAATCAAGTGACTCTCTCCCTGGCTGACCCAAGAAATTTTAATCCCCACGGCAGGACAATAAAGGAAACTAATTAAACCAGCACGAAACTCCTTAGACTCACCCCTAGAAGTGAAGTTGCCATCACAAAAGTGCCCTCCTCAGAGGATCTTTTTATATTTATGAATCAGAGCACTGTTTTTTTAGAGGTGTGCAATACAATGATGTGATCCGCCCATTCCAGCACAATTGTAGCTCCTCTCACGGCTTTGAAGTGCCGCTGTGACACGGGCGACCAATCAGGAAGAGCCGTACCTTCACGCGGCCACATTCTAGCGTGAGGTCATCGATAGACCACTTCAGACAAGATCTCCACCCCTTCCAACACCCCCCTCATAATAAAACTGAAGTTAAATGAGAAGAACTGGAAGTTTTGGGGGAAAACTTTTTCTTTTGTAAAGAGGTTAAGTTTACTGCCCCTGATCTGTTTTGAATTATTATTATTATTATTATTATTGTGGAATGTCTGCTACAATTTGCTAATGATAAAAGAGCAACTGTCATTATACAAGTCGTTATCATTGTCTTACAGGTTGTTTTGTAGATTCACTGTAAAATTGTATGATCAATGACAAATATGTTTTTGCATTGCTTTAACTCATCAAAATAAGTTAAAACAAATTTCCACTTGTTTTATAAGTTATACAAGATTTAACGAATGTAATTTAATTTAAAATGACAAACAAGTTGATAGTACTTTTTTTGCTCAAACTAGCCTATTTTAAAGAATTTATGCACCAAATCGAACAGGTTATAATTTTAATCCTCAAATGTTTTTGTTTGGAAAATTACCACTTTTAATAAAACTTTAATTTAATAGTCAAAAGTTTAATTAAGATACATTTAAAATGTATTGCAAGTTAAAGAAATGGGCCTACAAATTCTCACAACTTCATAGAATTATGACATGCCAACCTTTTCTCTCCCGCTCTCCATAAAACACATACAAGTAGCAAACAAGTCTTTTTCAGGGCTGTTGTGTTTTCCGAAATATATTGTTGTTTTTATTACGCACGAATTCGGGCATTTATTTGGTATCTGTGAACTTGTTAACTCATGTCAGTACAAAAAAAAAAATCATTTCACATAATGCATGTAAGCGCCTTTACAGCCGGGAATAAGGCTTTTGTGTCCTGTTAACTCTCAACAGAAGTACAGTTGGCGAGCTATTGATATCAGGACGATGAATGCAGAAATGCTCTCAGGATAATGATGCAGCCCTGGCTACTCTATTTACATGCGCCGTGGACCGGAGGCATAAATTTCATTTGAATTTCAAATTTAATAAAGCAGGAGGTTTTTAATCATGAGAAGTTTTATTTGTTTGATATTAACATTCTTATTGACCGGCTCCGTTGACCAACTTGGTCATTATAGGACAGCAAAAAAGTTAATTAAAACGACCGAAGATTATTCATCAAATCATCTGCCTCCGCCGTGTCGCCTCTTTTATTGCGAGAAGTGATAGATGGCTGATCAGATTCATTTCTCTGTTTCTTCGATTTGCACAACAGCTCTGTTGTTTCCTCTTACCCTTTCTAATTCAAAGAACAAGAAGCAGTCGAACTCAAAATGGAGATAATAAAATACTAAACAAAAACGAACCAAGACGTCGGATTAAAAGGGAATCATTTACGCCGATTTGAAATTTCAGTCGTGCTTCTGAAACACAACCTGTAAAGTTTGCAAAGGTATAATTACAGACTGAATATAATTCAGATAAAAAAATATAATAATAATTAAACGTTGGCAACAACTTTTGCTTCAGTTTTCCTAAACATTTAAGTTTTCTCTCAGATGATATTATAGCCTTTTTTTTCAGAGGGTTTATAGGTAGAAAAATAAGGACAAAAAAAACGTAACTATAGAATCACTATTTCACTCAAAAACATTTTCATGCCAAAGCATCAGAAAAATAAAATGTAGTAAAAAAGCTACGTGCATGCGCAACCAAAATACAAATGTCACACACACACACACAAACAAATGTCCCATAAACTGCAGCATTGTTTGATTGCAACAGATGCATGATGCACATACCGTGTCTGTGTCCTCGGTTTATTGATTGACCCCGCGCGCATCTCCTCTCGCACAGCAGAAGGTAGTGGCGCTCGCGCACAGGGAACGCGCAGACCCTGGAAGATAAATGTTACTTTGGGAATTGAGTTTAATTACGAATAACGGAGGAGCCGCTCGGCCACCGGTGCTATAATCAAAACATGTGTTCATGTGCTCTGACAAGACAGCGCGAGAGATGTGTGATCTGCAGAGTATTAGATGGAAGCGCAGAAACGTGTGTGTGTGTGTGTGTGTGTGTTATATTAAAAACACTAGGCTATTAACAATTTAATTAATTAAAAAATACCATTAAATTAATAAAAGGTTACATAAAGGGGCAAATGTGCAAATAAATAGCGGCATATAAAATAAATAAATTTATTCGTGGTGTATAACATAGCAGAGGTTTAATTCTGTAAATCATCAAATAAAGAAAATAACGAACAAAACAAAACATAACCTATATATAAGAGGAGTAAAAAGCAACAACAAAACTTTAGTGCAAGTAATATACCCTGTTGCTTTCTTTCCCAAGATGTCATATGGGCCACTGAGGTTCCCTTTGGCCTGCATTGAACAGATGTCCCCATCTCTGCCTTTCTTCTCCCATGCATGGGCTACATTACCGTCATGAAATCAAGCTGAAGAAACCTGTCCCATTCGTGGCCCTAATCATCGCGTTATTCTGGCCCAGTGCGCACGAACAAAATGGGTTTAATATTGCGTGCTCTCAATAATTTTGCGAAAAAAGAAAAGGGGGGAAGTCAGCGGCTGTGTCCCGGAGATGGTGGGAGCACTTTCCTCTTTAATCTTATGATTATCCAGGAAAACTGATAATCCAGTGGTCTACATGTCCGAGTCCTGCCGAACAGCAGTAGACTAATTGCCGGAATTTGAAACTAGCAATAAAGATTTAGGACAACGTTGAAAGCATCGATTTAAAAATTCAATAAATTAATACTTTCAAAGAAATTATAGGCTATTGTTTAAACAAAAAAAACCTATCTATCTATCTATCTATCTATCTATCTATCTATCTATCTATCTATCTATCTATCTGTCTATCTATCTATCTATCTATCTATCTATCTATCTATCTATCTATCTATCTATCTATCTATCTATCTATCTATCTATCTATCTATCTATCTATCTATCTATCTATCTATCTATCTATCCATCTATCTATCGAAATTCAGATTTTCGTATTAAATAAGACTAAACAAGTTGGTCGATACTTTCGCTAAAGAATTTGAATTTTCTATAGGCTAGTTGTTAATGAATTGTGTGTGTGTGTGTGTGTGTATATATATATATATATATATATATATATATATATATATATATATATACTTGCTTTGCAAATTGTTTCAAACATTATGCATTGTTTCTATAGTTCAGTGTAATGCCTTTGTAAAATATCATAAATGTGGGGCCATGGCCGGACTCTTTCTTTTCAGCAGGAGGTGGGACAGAGAGACCAGATGTCCCTGTGTGTGCAGGGCTGCCAAGTGAGGCTAGAGCAGTGAAGCCCGAGACACAAGAGCCCAAATGGTGTGACAAAGGAGGAGCAGGAAGCCTGGCTCTGCCTGGATGAACCTCAGAGAGCGCTAGTCCACATCCCACCACCCCATTGAACTACTAGAGCAGGGCCACAGACCATGTGCTGACTTTTTGCTGGATCACACAACCATAGACATGATCACAGGAGTGTAAACGCTGACATCTGATCCCTAGACGACAAGTGTGCACACAGCGTACTCCCCCCAAAAACACATCCATAATGTCATTTTATGGCGTTATTCTAGGCTCTTGTGTATTTAAAACACCCTGTTGGTAACGAAAATAAGCTGCATTTGGGTAATTAATGAATTCACACCAACCAGATAAGGTGGTATTTGTCATATGACATACATCAGCGTACATCGCTTCCATGCGTCCTGTGTCCAATAACTCATTCATCTTGATTTAATCAGTGTTGTGTGGACACTAGATGGGGGAGGAGGCATCCAGCGGCTAATCACCAAAGCTAAACACCTGGAAACATGGCATCATGGGCTGTGTGGTCATTATCATTATCATAAGCCCTTTAATTAACCAAAAAATCACATGCTAATGTATCACAGTTTCAGGAACCAATGCACTTATTAAATGACATACATTTTCTTAGGTTTTAAAAATGACAACAGGTCAGCTTTTGCTATGATCTTAAATGTTTTTTTTTTTTTTTTTCATCAAAAACTTTAATTTGGGGGTTGCATGGGGCGTTTTGATGTTTCAAAAGTGAATCAATTGGATTGCAATATGATTTGGACCAGAAGTTGTTTTGTTAAAGTTGTATGCGAAATAAGGAGACAAATAAAATTGAATGACATGAATTTCTTATTTGAATTCATGAATTTCATGAATTTTTTACATCTGTCAAATTGTATTGTATGTAGGATATATATTATATTACTGTAATTATATTTAGGGCTGTCAAACGATTAATCACGATTTATCGCACCTAAAGTAAAATTTTATGTTTACATAATATATGGGTGCACTGTGTATAATTATTTTGTATACTGTATATAAATACATGTATATTTACTGTAAGACAAATTATATTGTTTATATAATAATCATATTATATAATATCATATTATATTACTGTGAAATCATTATATAATCACATTATTTATATATAAAATATTTATATTTACATATAATATAAATTATATATAAATCTATATACAGTATATACATGAAAATATTTCTTAAATATATACAAGCATGTGTGTATTTACATATAATAATTATACACAGTGCAGCCACATATATTGTGTAAACACAAACTTTTATTTTGGATGCGATATATCTCATCCAAAATAAAAGTTTGATTGATACATACAATACAACATATATATAGTGTGTGTGTGAGAGAGAAATGCACCAAAGCGACTGAGAAAAACTGTATTATCCATTTTTTTCATCTGTCAAGTTGTATTGTATGTGGGATAGATGATAGATAGATAGATTTTAAATAAATCTTTTTTTTTTTTAAATGAGTTTTTTAAACTCAATTATTAAATGAGTTTTAAATAAACAATCAAATAAACAAATAAATAAAG